CCCAAGGATAATTACTCTTTTGTCTAAAATCCAAAACTAATTTTATATATACTTTTATCTGCGGCAAAGCCGCCTAATTTTAAATGTATAGATTTTCCTAAAATATATATAGCAGAATCTTAATACATGCATAACTACTGGCTACCTAGCCACATACCGTATTCTTGGTGACACATACCCCTGTTACCAGGGTACGTGTAACCCCGTTACACTGAGGATCAATGTACAAAGAATGAAGTATAGTTCTGAACCAGTACTAAAACTATCTGTCAGCTGTTTTAAAGATATTATCCTGTGCATTGTATAGCGTGAGGCTAACAGCCAACATGTCCCATGCACCCTTCATCAGTACCAGCGCTTTGGAGCTTCTGGACTCTGCTCTAAGTCAGTAATAACAATAGCGAAGTGTTTACAAACACTGTATTACAGTCGTGCTCATAGGCAATTTCATACTCTAGTTCTACATTAAGCAGCGTCCTATTTTAAAACTAAGTGTGCAAGCATTTCAAAACAAGTCATATACTCGAAAAGGCAATAAATGACACATTCTTTGATTTGTAACGTACTTGATGAAATGAGGCAAACGGTTACATAAACTGCATCACGGTTATGACGTCATCCAAAAATCGAAGCGAGCGGACCATCGCGTTTATACAAAGTGCATAGCGGCAATGGTGTATCGCTACGAAAGTTTTGATGGTGTGGTACTTACTTGTTAGAAGTAGAAATTGGTACAGCTAAAATAAGCTGTTATTTTGATGAATCACTGAGCGAGAAAATTCTGAAACGCTGTGCTGTCGTGCAGCTCTTGGTGCTCAGCGACATAGCGAAGTAGTGACGAGAATTGGTTTTGGCGCTCCTCGATCGTCTTTCTGCTTTGTCGGCCGCGAATGAAGTGAGTAACGCCGGCCCGAGATAGCTGCGGTAGTTTGCCTGCAGATGGTAGCTTGGATTCTTTCAATTTCAAGTACATTTCAATAAATCGAGAATAGCGGCGATGTAGTGGTACCGGCTCCGTACTGTCATTCAGAAGCTGCACATGATACTGTACAATGCCTTTTTCAAAGGATGTACCCACAACAGCGTACATTGAGCGTCTTGAACTCCGATTATCTACTGGCTTCGTTTTTATGCTAAGAGTGAACACTCCAGAACTTGATGGCTCGACCTGAATACTGCTTTGTGATTCGAAAGCTGCACGGCTGCACACCTGATTCTGTGTGGAGGTCGCGGCGGTGACAGCACCGTCGACAATGTCCCGAACTATTGCTGCAACACTTTCTTGAATCGATTGAAGTTGCACACTATCGTGAGCTAGCACATCCGACCTTTTATGTGGCTCTTGACAGACCACAACGCCTGTCTCCGTGACGATATATTCGTTATACTCACTCATCAATGACATGGCGACTGAGTTCATTTCACTGTTACTGTCATTGTCGCTACTTTGGCTGATCCCAGAATTGTCCAAGTCCTTTATCAGCATATCGCTAGTTTCAGTCACCGCGGAATCGCTCACACCACTGTTCTCGTCATTCAGTGTCACACTTGCAGGTGACGCTTCACCATCGGGTTCTGTATTACCGCTCTGACGGGGCGTCTCTGTCGACTCCGCGGAAAGGCTAAGCGGTACTTCTATACAATCTCTTGATTCTAAGCGTTCCTCTGGAATCGGTAGCAGCTCGAGTGGGTCTCCTGTCACGGCAAACGTTGACATGTCGGATGGAACAGGTGACACCAGTTCCCCAGTAACGGATGGACTGCTAAGGCTGGAATTGCTGCCTGATTCCGACAGGTGAATGAACGAGAAGTTAAAGGCACTAATCATGCCGTGCACCGGTTCGCCGTCGGAGCTACCGACTAGGTCGACGCTGTCCGAGACAACAAATGACGGAAGCTCTTCAACAGGCTGCGAATCGCCTGTGGCTGCCCAGGGTTTTGAGTCTTGTTCGTGGAACGACGGTGTTGTGGGGTGAAGCGGCATCGCGACACTGGCACGATGTATTAGTGTCGCGTTCTTGGAGTGTCTGCAGCCCATGCGATAGATACAATATAAATGCACAAACGTTTAGATTTGAGTAGTGATCGGAAGACGGGACTTTTCAAGTTGAGCTTGGACAGGCGGTGATACTTAGCTATCGTTAGTCGAAATACAAAAAGCGGTGAACGCAAACGTGTTTCTACCCTGACAGCAGGTAAGAGACACGAAAATTCATAGGACCATGCTGGTGTCTCCATACCGTCTGCGCTGGATATGTAGCCATATTCTCTGCCGACAAAGGCAATATTTGAACCCTTTGAATTAAATAGAATATAGAAACTAATTGATGGACTATTTGCTTACTTTCGAATTTCTTGAATTAGCATTCAGAATCCTAGACAGTACCATCTCATTGGGAATATCAAGCAAATATGGACCATGCGCTTGCCTTAGGCATTTCCGGCGCGATGACAGTGTCTTGATTAATTGACACTGTGATGTTGGTACTTCTTTCTCGCAAGCCATAACCGTGGAAATGGCTGTGTTGAATTGCCATAAAGTCTGGATAGCGCTTGTTGATGTGCGCTTGGTTGGTCAGATCCAAAAGGATAGAGCCTTTTTTGTCAACGATGACTTTGACTATATTGATAGTAATGACTGTTGGTAGCTTGTTGCGTAGGCTGAATCTTGTGAAGCTGGTAAGAGTTTGATATTTGATTCACTTGAAATCAAACCATGCACTGAAATTAGATTTTAATAAATTAGTAGCTCTGGTGGCACTAGCGTCGATTATGCTAATTTGAAGCTTGTTTCTTTAGACAATTAGGTATTTTTCATTAAGACCGCATGGTAGAGAGGCAACTGCATCTTATCTGATCGTTGTTGAAGGTACGAAATATAAATTTGAAACAGATAAATAATGATTTAAACAACTGTAAGCTACACCAAAATTGATCTTCTTGCTTATTGTCAAGCTTAAACCCAAAAAGTAGAAAATTTCTGCATATTTAATATGCAATATTCTTTTGAGGCGTCAGAAATTTTTAATTTGAAACCCTAATTGGATATAATAAGATGAGGACCTAAAGTTCTTCGATTAGGTTGCGAATCAGTCTTGTAGAAAATATCTGGACAAGTGATTTGAACGCGTTTTTTTACCTTTGCAACTTTTTCTGTCTAAAGCAATATGATATATAGAATTATGGGTAACTTGTTAAAAAACTTCCGTGACCCAACCTATTCTATGTTAAAAAATCTTTGAAAGTCTCGCTTTTAAACGCAATCGGATGAGCAGCTATTGCGTTTAGAATCTTGACAAACTGGTCTTCGCGCTCCTTCACCACATTTTGATCACCTCGCCCGAGCAAATAAGTCACTGCGTTAGCACGAGGCATCGACGGTAAAGCTGGGTAGGTCTGAAACTTATCCTGGTCCTTGACTTTGACGTTCTTCTCGCTAGCCATAAGCTTGGAGATTGCCGCATGCATGATTTTGAATTCTGAGTACCGCTTACTCACGTGAAACTCTTGACTAGGATCAGCTGGATTAGAGCCGTCGAAGTTGTAAAAAGCGACGCCATATTCATTGATGCAAACCTCACCTGGATGAAACTGAAGTGCGAAATCCTGAATTTTCGTCTTAACGACTGCTTCATTCGCAGTCAAAGCGGGTTCCGACTCAGCTTCGCTAGGAGCGATTGAGGGCTGTACACCATTCGTTGTGACATTCTTTTCGAATACTTCCGACTTTGAGATGCTCAACTGAGCGGTGCTTGAGACGTTCACATCATGCTCGTTCGTCTTGGACTGATTGCAGCCCATTTCTGTTAATATGTAGTGTCAAAATGGGTCAAGTGATGTAAGTCGAGTCGCGAGAAATGGAGAATGAGCACAAAGGATATCAGGTTCTCAGTGTGTTCACGTCGCCTTTCGTCGAAATAGGCGCAACACATATTGAAGTGACAAGCACGTAGGGAATGACGGCTGTCGACCAGAAGTGCTGTCTCGCCACGTACTCGCTCTTTTAGACAAACAGTAATGATACTTATGGTTTATATTATTTGGCCACCCTGAATTTTGAAGCTCTTGGTTAAAAAAATGGCGAGCAGTATCGTATGGTTGTACGGTCCAGTGTGGTGAGAAAGCTAATTCTTAGACTGTGTCGAAAGAAGATAGCTTTACTATTTCGCGGCTGACAACACACCTTGTGTATCAATGGTAAAATTTGTCCTTCCGTCTGATAATATGCGTTTTTTGTACAAATTGTAGAGACTTTCAGATCATCAAACTCAAAAATAGCGATAAAGTACATTTAAACAGCTGAACGATGCTTAAAATTCTACCATGTCAAGTATTAAGCCAAAAAGGCTTTGAATACGTCGCTATGAGAAGCGATGGGATGTGCAGCAATGGCATTCAGAAGGACCGTGAACTGCGTCTTACGCTCCTCTAACATTTTAAGATTCTTACGGCCCTGTAAGAATGATGTCTTCGGTAGCGCTGGTAAGTCAGATGTCTTGCCTTCTTTGCTGTCCGCCAGCTGCTGAAGGAGCTGAGTGTACAAAGCTTTGAATTCCGAGTAGCGCTTGGAAATGTGCTTCTCTTCGGCAGGATTGGAAGTGTCGGTACCGCTAAAATTGTAGAAGGCAATATTAGCATCATTAAACGTCACATCCTGTGCTAAGAAGGTCAGCGCGCCTTCAGAAACAGGTTTGTCCAAAGTCACGTCCGAGGGCGATGTCTCAACAATCGGCTCTGGCTCCTCTTCTACCAGTTTATCTGTTGATATGTCTGCAGATGCTGATGGCGACACTTGCTCTTGAACAGTAGACTCGACAGCGAAAGCTTCAGGATTTGCCTCAACTGTCTCAACAATTTCGTCCTTTGTGGTGGAGTCAGCATCTGGAATTATCTTCATAGGAGTGGGAAGTTCATCCTCCGTCGCCGTGGATTCAGCATTTGGAATCTTTATCGGAGCGATTGGTTCTTCCTCAGTCGTATTAGTTTCAGCACAAGTAATCTCCTTTATCGCAGCAGTTGAGTCTCTCTTCGTCGAGGAAAGTTCAGCATCAGAAATTTCATTTATCGGAGCAGTTGGCTTCTCCACAGGTACTTCAGGGGCAATGGCCTCCTTGATCTCCTCGGTATGGTGAATTACGTCAGAACCAAATTCGTAGGTAGCAGGTAATGCTGGTTCAGCAACTTCTACCTCTAAATCAGAAGCAGGAGGAAGTTCGTTGGTCGAAGTAGGCGGTGCTTCCTTGACTATCTCAATTTCTTCAGTCTTCAGACTATTTTTTACTAAATCCTTCGATGCGGGCGGGGACTCGATGGTCGCTACAATTTCTTCAGTCGTTTTACTCTCAGAAATTGGCGCTTCCTGTGCGGGGGTGTCTATCGATTTGCGTTCCGTGACCTCGTCGATTGACGCCTTGGACTGAGTGCAACCCATGCTATTTTATTCTTTATTACGATTCGAACTGAATAGAACAGAGAAAATTTGATATTGATTTAGTCGACAAACATGTCGGCGCCTTTCCCCGCGCTACGGCAGAGACTAAAGGAGACGTAAAAATATAGTACCGCATCTTTCGAAGCCATCTGTCCTATAATACATTACTCACTAAGCTGTCGCACTACGAGGCAAATTTGTATTCAGGTCGTACGCGATCCATCTTTGCTCGGCCCGTTAATTTTCTACACTTAGGCCCCTCATCTTCACCTGGCTCTACGCCAGAAAGGCCTGAAATGAGGCACTCTGAGATGCGTCTGGGTGTCGCGCCATGGCGTTGAGCATCTCGACGAAAGTATTTTCACGCTCCTGCAACAATGCCTTATCGTTCCGGCTCTGAAGGAAAGACGTTCGGGGCATACAAGGCAGGTCTTCACTACTCATGAGTTTGATTATGTCGTCATATAGTACCTTAAACTCGGAGTATCGCTTGGTCAATTGTACTTCATCTCCGTCACTATTGCAGCCGGTAATGTTGAAAAAAGCCACACCAACAATGAACGAAACCTTGTGAGCAACAAATGTCCAGACAGGTGCTTCCACGCTCGTTAAAGCAGACTTTTTTACGACTACTGGATAATGTACTTCTTCGACCTCCACCTCGGGTTCAACTACAAGTTCTTCGTTTACCTCGACAATCGGTGCTGATTCTACTTGTGCTTCGTCGACTTCCAGTGTAACACATTCGCAAGCATCAACGGGCGCTTGATCTGCGATAGGCCCATCAGCAGCGACGGATACCTCATCAGCAGCAACGGGTACCTCATCAGCAGCAACGGATACCTCATCAGCAGCAACGGATACCTCATCAGCAGCAACGTATACCTCATCAGCAGCGAAGGGCTCATTATCGCCACCAATTACGACGGATTCCTCAATCGCATCACTTTGAGCGATTGAGTGCTCCATCGGTTCCTCGTCAGTAATGGCATCAGCCTCTTTTTCTCCATTGAGATTTTCCACCGGTGCAGGTGGGATGCTGGTGCTTGTCTTCTCATTGCCGTCCATAATTTCAGTAGAGGCAAGATCTGATGACGCTTTCCCATACTCGGACGGAGAAGTCGTAACCGATTCAATGATATCAGCATTAACCTTAGATTGATTGCAGCCCATGATGCTCTGAGGTGGAGAGAAAACTTTATTATGGTCTTAAGTAGACCAGATAATTTGTAGAATGGCCTGTCTGAATCTGTGCATGAAGGTGCAGAAAGAAGAAAACCAATTGCTCTTGAAAGTTTCAAGTTTAAGCATCGTTTTTTCTAGCAAAATGCTGGCAAAGTACCCACTTTGCCGCCTGGCTGCAACAGGTTTCGGCGGATGATGAGCTGGAAGCAGCGAAACGGTTACGAACGGTTTCTAATTTGCTTAATTAAGGCTTTTCAGCAGCCGGTTTGTACAAAAAGACTTGCACTTCCACCAATAAGAACATTTTTGATATAAACTTATACATCGTGTATTTGAGAAGCAACTGCACCAATGGCACTTTCAACATGCTATACTTGTGGAGGCAGACTTCAAACGACCAGTCACGCGCTGAATTCGAACCGTCGTCCAAAATTGCATGTAGGTAAGCATCTAACGCTTTTTAATGTTTCTTCACTATGACATTCTTCCACATATGAATATAATATATGGCTTTTCGTCAAGTAGTAAAACACCAAAAGGAATTGGCATGTATTTAAGAAATGGTAATTCTGCGGTTGACTTAAATGCAGTGTGTCAACTTGTCTTTGGATCATTAATTCATAGCATGCATTGTAGTTAGTACCATTTAATGTAGCAAAAGATTTTTTTGCACGCATCCCCGTGTCGGACATCAGATTGCCCAAATTTCGTACAGTGGTGCTTGACGAGTGCTAGCTGATCATACCATGCTAACTTTATCCTAAAATTTACAAGCAAGTTGGTACATCACACCTCAGTTAGCCTGTTTTGCCTTCATTCAAACAGATTCACCGATTTAAACGCCTACGCTAACAAGCTAGCGCCATGAAGTCGTCTTGCTGTTTTGGCAAACTAACGCTAGTGCAGTAATCAAACCGAGCTCTCGGTCACAGATCAAAAGAAAATTAGACTGTGAATGGTCAGCGATAATTGATTTTGTTTCCACGCATGAAATTTGATGAGGGTGTGTAATCAATCATATATAGCTGCTACAGTGATACCTTGTGTTACAAGGACAAGATGTTACTAGGAGCTATATCGTAGACAGACGAGCACAATTGTCTAGCTTAGGTGTGCAGATGATATAGAGGCTACCTTTGCGTGAAGTTTGATTTTGTAATGCTTACAATTCAGTCCGCACAATAAATTCGGCAATGGTGGCAGTATTCAAGTATACTCTTGCAGCTTACTCGTGCAGCATACTCGTGCAGCATACTCGTGCAGCGTCTTGAACTGGTAAGCTTGCAGGAACGTGTCTGGCGAAATAATCAACCGATCGAATGGTATTTACGGTTATTATGAGACCACGACCTTTCATCCAATAAAAAGTCGAGTAACTTTGATCATTAAAGATGACATTCTTTTGATCTAAAGTCTTAACTCAGCTATAGTATCTCAATAATTTCTCGGCCATGTACGAAAACCTAGACAATGTATAATATTAAAGTGAAGCTACGACAATTAGCGGTCTAGCGTGCGACTTTCACAGGTGTGGAAGCTCAATGTCATCGAGCTTCGTTATCTGAGAGCTTATCTTCAACCATTCGACTAGAACATAGCTCTTGTGATGGATTTAAGAGCAAGCTCACTTATAAATTTACCGACTCTCCATGTATTTACATAGGCCACACACTTGAGCATTACTAGTGTTTTTACGAAATGCGCAGACCTTTTTGACTTCTCTCATTGTATCGCTTGTCAAAACACGTGGACGTCATAAAACTATTTGTACCTTCGATTCATAAATACACGCAGCAAAGGCATTTCTTTTATCGACGTCAAGCTTCTAGCTGTGTCTAGTCATTGTTTGCCGATTAGAATAATCAGTGAGAATTTGTCCGAATTGCCAAAAGCTGATGTTGCTGTTGTGAGTCTTTTTTACGTTCATATGGTTTAAATTTGTCGATTATGATACTTAATTTATCATGGCTGGATAGTTTAAGTGTCGTGGCGCGTGGGTAAGGCGCTGGTTTTAGAAATCAGTCTTCCGGCGTGGGTTTGAATCCTACTCATGTCACTCGTACCCAAGTATGATCCCCGTGTAATCTACAATAGTCAGCTGTCTACTGCCTGATCATGTTTCTGATTTCTCCAAAACATATAATTTCATACTTTATTAAGCATGTAATACATGCTTAATAAAGTATGAGACGACCCAGAACCAAATGATACTAATCAACCATTTAGAGTTATCGAGATAAT